ATGCTATATAAAGCCATCTGTACTCCATATATCTCATACTGCAATACAGTCTGGTCAAGCGCCTATCCAACTACAACAAATCCAATAAGAATAATCATGAAGAGAGCGATGCGAACAATCACACTTTCCAAAGCTCAATCCCATTCACAACCGCTATTCGCCACGACAAGCAATCTGACTTTCGATCAAATGAGTACATATCACGCGGCAAAATTCATCGACAAACAATTGACTGGTAAACTACCTCCTATTTTTGACGGTTATTATAAACGAACGAAGAATCAAAGGCGCATCAATTTCATCTGTTCCAACAAATCAAAAACGAAAATTTTACATCAACACATCATTTGCAGAGGACCCAGAATTTGGAATTTTTTATTAAATAAAGGATTTAATTATGACAGATCGAACATGCAGAACTTTAACTATCATTTGAAAGCATTTATTAGTTTGATTAATTAAAATCACTAGTTTTAAGAATATAAATTACATTTTTATAAAATATTTATGACATCATGTATGCTCAGTTGTATGTATGTGTGTGTGCTGACGTGTACGTAGATATTTTAATATACGTATGTGATCCTATTTTCTTCTATCTATAGCTTATATAGATTCAATCAGGTATTCTATATGCAGTTTTGTATATAGAGAAATATAGACCTAAGTTATTATTAGGATCAATTAGTAACATCTCAAAGCTAATACATTCCATTTAGAGAATCTGAAGTTTTTTGTGGTGCACGATGATAATATTTTTATGAACAGTTAGTAACACCGTAAATATAATATACTCCAATTAGAGAATCTGAAGTTTTTTGTGGTACTCGATAATTTTATTTTTACGAACAACTAGTAACACCGTGAACTTAATATATAACATTTAGAGATTCTGAAGTTTTTTGTTTGATGGCTGAGCCCGATGATTTTGTTTTTGTAATCAATTAGTAACATCTGAATGTTAACATATTTCATTCAGAGATTCTGAAGTTTTTGGCTTAGGTGGCTGTGCTCGATGAGTTTTATACTAACTCCTCACAGTCAACCTGCACCTTATTTTCTTTATTGAGGTCAAATAAATTATTTCGTTTCGTTTCGTTTCGTATGTAT